CTGCACAAACAACACACGCTCTGGTCTCTTACATCCAAGTAACTCTACAAAAGTGTGTTTTTTTCAAATGGAGTAAATTCAAAAATCACGGTTTTGAAAAAAAAATGAACCGTTTTAATTAGAAAATTTAAACTGTTGTAGTAATACACATTAAGCACCGTGTTAAGTTTGCCCTAGCTTTTCTAATGAAAAGAGAGCGGTACACTGAAGTTATGTATTAAAAAGGCTTAATTCCCACGGGTACATTCCGGTGCCTTTCCTCCCTGAAGCCGGAGAGCCGGAAGTACACAACAAGCCATACTAATATTATTTGATTTGTTTTTGTATAAAGAAACCAGAAATCCACTTCGGCGTACGACGGGAGCGAGGGTTGTATCACATGAAGGAAATACTCAATGTCACATCGGTCTTCTGTACATGGACTTCGTGTAAAGTTGCCTAGTTGCCGACTGGAGAGCGGGGCTTAGCTTCCTCAGATACTTTGTGTCCATAGTATTTTTGTGGCAGGTCGCAAAAGTAATGTGAGCCGGTACCTACGAGAAAACACACACAACTCAAGGTTAAAAACTTCGCAACAATTGGTAACTCATTTTTAATAGCAAAGTCCAGCGCAACGACAAAGCCCGCCGACCACGTCGCAGCCTACACACACATACCACTTATTTCGTACACCACTCCTAACCGACCGTTCCCTCCGCCTGTGGAAACCTGGACCTCTTAGACTCTCTCCCAAGAGACCGGGTCAAGTTCCGATGGACCTCGGACCATTCTGGGCGGAGAGTGTGACCCAGAAGAAAGTTAACTATAAGTTTTTCTAACTAACAAAAAGGAACGCTTCAGTATATCGTCACTACTGTATTGCCAAAAAAGGGATTGACTACCCTCACTATCACCACAATGAAACACGTCCAGAAGAATGTCATGCAAAGCTGCCTGCCTTCCTTTGATTCTCCCTGAACTGCCTGATCTTTTTAATGTTCAATGTTAACCATTTGTGCAGATAGCATGAAGTAGAAAAGATCGCCGATGCTAATGTAGCGTTAGCGTTAGCATGTCTCCCCCGGGGGTATCCGGGCTTAAACGGTGTATTATAGAATGATCACACCGGTTATGACATCTTTTACGCGACTCTGGGATTTGTAGTCTTTCTAGTTGCGTATTTTTCATAGTCTTATATTTCAACAGTTTTACGACAAACTGTGACTTTTTTGACATGGAAATTATTTTTTAAGAATTGACAAACATCATATGTGTAATTCGTGACACAATTCAAACGGGATAGAGAGATAATCTTTCTCTCCCCATTGACTTCAATACATAATCTTTCCGAAATAAGGTCCCATTGGTCGGAAGTAGAAGGGCCGGACTTAATAAAAAAAAACTGCATTGCCAAATTTAAAATGCAATTTCTATTTTTCCGTGCCTTTTTGTAGGTGGCTCCCTCCTCCTGCTTTGGGACTTTCTGATTGACATAGAACACACGTGGGATGTTGAGCTTCATGCAGTGGAGGTCGTTTCCGATCACAGCCCACAGCTTGTACAGGCCGGGGTGACTGGTCTCTGCAATCTGAGAGGCAGGGAACAGGAAAGAACAGATTAGATGATTTTCTTTGGGTATTATTACTCTTTAAACTGGCTTGAGGATAAGATAAGATAAGATGTACTTTATTGATCCCAATTTGGGAAATGTTTGTGTTACAGCAGCATAACAAGACAAGGCAATGTACAATACAATAAAAATTAAAAGACTAGAAATAATCAAGAAAGTACAAAATATACATGTTGAATTTAACAAGGTATTATATATATATATACATAAATATAAGACAGAAGGAATATTAATATTAAATATTGAACAGATAATAGTGGGATGTCGTTGCCCGACCTGCACAATCTGCCATGGCATGTCCAGGATGCTGCGTGCTGTTTTGCGGAGGAAGCTCCCCAGGCCGCCGGTGGGGCCCTGATCCCGGATCACTCCCCCCCCCACGGGTTGAGCTTCACCATCCAGCAGCCTCCTCCTCTTCTTTCTCTCCTTCCTCTGCCTCAGCTGGAGCTCCCACTTCTTCTTATGGTACCGCAGCCACACCAGGATCTCCTCCTGTTTACACAAAGGCTTTGTAATATCTCCACGATAATGCATTTCCTAGGAATGCTGGGTCAAATGTGAAATCGCATCGCAATGAGAATTCCTTTACTAGTCCCACAGCGGGGAATTCTGTTGCAGCAAAGAAGGTAAAAAATAACAATAAAAAAGTAAAAGTACTCAGATCTTGTACTAGAGTAAAAGTAGAAGTACTCAGATCTTGTACTTGAGTAAAAGTAGAAGTACTCAGGTCTTATACTAGAGTAAAAGTAGAAGTACTCAGGTCTTGTACTTGAGTAAAAGTAGAAGTACTCAGATCTTGTACTTGAGTAAAAGTAGAAGTACTCAGATCTTGTACTTCAGTAAAAGTAGAAGTACTCATGTCTTGTATTATTTAGAGTTAATTAGAAATGGCCTGAATCAGTGCAATAACACAACAGGCATCACGTTGTGCTCGTTTCAGCTCGCCTACCCGTGAGTTTCCCACAGCCGGGGGCGCCCCCAGGATCTCCCTCCAGGACTGAGTGAGCTCCACATCCTGCGACTCCACTTGGCTCTCCTCTGCCTGAGACGCCCGTTTGCGCTTGGTGCTGATGAGGATGGCCGGCTGCAGAGGTCTGGGGGGCCTCCCAAAGTCCTCTATGTCCGCGGTTTGGCCTGCTTCCAGAGGCTGATGGGCCACCTGAGACAGAAAAGGCCATTTAGATAAAAAACAAAACAACCCTTTGCATAAAAGCGAAGCAGGGAATAAGAGAAATGTCAAATGTTTTGGGCATTTCAAGAACACACTAACCCTATCACTTGGGAAAACACCAGAGGGAATAAAAAAGATTCTCGTGAGAAGAATAGCAAATCACTCACAATCAAATGATCTCGTAAATGAAATATATGGACTGGAGAAAATATCCATGATAATCAGAAACCCAAGTTCTTATCTTTGACGAAAGATGGGAAAAATGGGTAAACTATAAAAACACAAAACATTATAATGACCAGGTGGTAAGATCTGGTTGGTATATAGCTTACACATAAACCACTTTCACACCAAGTACTTTGCCGTACTTAGTGCCCTAAGTACCAATAAATTCCCTGAGGGAAGATTACGCAAATGAGCCGCTGACGTCACTTCTTCTTCTTCTGCTGCTGCTTTGGGTTTACTGGCAGGCCGCAAACAACTTCACGGCGTATACTGCTACCCGAAGTCCCCGGAGTTGGGGACTGGCTTTAGTCGAAGCTGCTGGGACTCCCAGTGGTTTGCAATTCGCCCAGCCAATAGAAATTGGTACTTTTTTGGTACCACCTCTCTAGCAGGCACTAAAAATGGGGGTAAAAGTTCCCGGCACTAAGTACTCTTTTTGGAGTGAACACGACATAAGGGTTACTAACGGAACTAAACGGAAAAGTACGGGGAAAAGTACTCCGGTGTGAACGCGCCTATAAAGTTGTATCCATTATATGTAAGCTATATCGTATAAGTTAACATTAATTTGTGTTATCTCTTCTGTGTTCCTGATTTGCCGATTGTTATGTAGTTATTGTATGTATCAAAGTGTTTCTTTTGATAGGGGGAACTCTCTGTGTCGACAGGTGGACGTTGTGCTTTGGAGGTGAACGAACCTGTCTCTTGCCCTCGCTGGTGAACAGCTCACTGATTTTCTTCTGCTTGAAGACATCATTTTTCTCCAGAAGTTTCTTGTGCAGCCAGTCAGGGTGCCTCACTCTGGGTACCGGATTCTTCACCTGATGACGAACAGAGACAATGAAAATATGTCCATGCATATTCTAGACTGACAGCAAAATGAAATGTGTTTTAATGTGTACCTGTTGAAGAGCTGCAGGGATGGTGATGATTTTCTGGATGGCACTACCCAACCTCTCTATGTAATAATTCCAATCAAGGATCTGAAAAGGAGCAGCAAATGTCAAAGAGCAAGTACAAGCAAATTCACTTAGAAAAACCCAGACATTAGAATGAAAGTGCATCAAAAGTTTGTTTAAAAACTCACCGATCGGATGTCAAAGTCATGAATGCTGGGCATCTTCAGCCACTTACGAAGGAAATGCTTCTTCACACTGGGCTCCGCCTGGAAGATGGCCAGAGGAATGGCTCTGATGGAACAAGACACAAATCAATAAGAGTCGATCTCAAGGCTTTTATTCTGGTAACATTACACAGTGGTTTTTAACCTTTTGAAAGCATCATTTTATTGGGGGATTTCTATTATCATGGCATTGAGTTTATCAACAAAGTTGTTTTTCATTTGATTTGGGATTTTGTGTATTGGAAAGCTACAGTTTGTAAATAGAGAGAAAGGAGACGTACAAAGGTCATTGGCCAGTATCTGAACGGGGATATTGCGGTTTCAGTTTTCTTTCAAACAAACAACAAGACTATCCCCTAAAGTCAGTATTTTACGTATAATTAGCTATTACACTATTATTGATGACAAGGTCCCCCCCCAACTTTAAACCTCTTAAAGAAGGGTCAGAGCGGAGAAGAGAACCTTTAGACGCATACATATGTCAGTTTCAAAAAGCTTCCTGCAATAGGATTATTATTGTATATCCACATATTAACTTATCTTACCAAAGATAGAGGAAATCCAAAAAGACTCGTCATCCTCTCACCTTGAACCTTCTCACACTGCTCAGATTTGATATGGAATGTGAAAATGGGTTTCTGTACTAATAACTTCATGACTACTAACAGCATTAGTATACCCTTCACCTTTCATACAATATATCATTTAAAAGAATGTCCACTGTAAACGTTTATTTCACCTCTCTGTGACAGGCGCACCCTCAGGTTTCCGGGAGATGACGTAGCGACAGCTCAGACCAGCATCTTTCACCATCTGGTCTCCCAGGAACTCCGCCAGTCTCTTAGCTGTGCTGATGGAGGTGGACTTCTGCTCTCCGTAGTCCTCCAGCTTTCTGGACATCGAACGATTCTCAGAAACCAGTTCAAACAGCTCCTGGTCTGGCATGTTGGCAGCCTGAAAGAACAGAGAAACAAATCAATCAGCTTTTTGTGAGGAAGATAGACTTCAATCAATGTTTTGACTGAAGCTTCTCTGCAAATGTGATTGTAAAAGTCACGTTATACTAGAATGGGTTTTGACCTTGCTGTACAGAACGTCCAGCCAGTAGTCAGCCACTTTGGCCACAGAGGCGTACACCTCCTCCAGATTGGTGCCTTTGAGGAAAGCCTCAAACACTGACGACTGGAAAATCTTAATGAGCTGCAGCTCTCCTCGTCTCTTGATTTCGAAACCCTTCAGCTCAGCCAGGGAGCCGTCCTCATTAAATACAGCGTACCTAAAATGAACAGAGAAACCTTAAATCAATCTGAACACTTTCTTCCCCTCCGCTACCGTTCTCATCAACAAGGCCCCCCCCCCCTCCTACTGACACTTTACCTCAGCCACAACGCAGACTCTATACACATTACATTAATGCACACAATGTTTAAATATTGCTTACTGCACATATTTCATATTCTATAATTCACTGCATTCTATTTCGTTGTAAATTACAGCTTTATTTTTATTGCTATCTATCTATATTTTTCAGTTTGCTATCTGTGTAGTTTTTTAAATTAAAAAAAATGTTGTTTTATATTTTATGTATGCACCACGACATCAAGTCAAATTCCTCGTACGCGTGAACCTACCTGGCAATAAACCCGTTTCTGATTCTGACGAACCTTTGCCCATTTAATAGTCTCATCGTCCAATGGTAAATGTGCTCACAGAATTAGTGTTCCTTTACCTTTTCTTCAGCTTCTTCCCTTCCTCCTTGGATGCGGGCAGGATCATGGCCAGGTACGGTCCGTCCACCTCAAAGAAGATGCTGTTCTCGGCCCTGGTTTGGTAAGTGAGGGTCGCGGGGTCGACCAGCTCGTGGTACTGATCGTTGGTGAATCCCTCCTTCACCATGATGTTCAGCATGGCTCCGGGGTAGGAGATGGTCACCTTGGGCTTCTTCTCATTGTTGGTTTTAATCACAAAGTTCTCGGGGAAGGTGTTGGGGAGGACACACCAGATCCCGTCAGTGTCTAACTCCAGGGGCCTCCTGAGAAACAGAAGTGAGAGAGGCCATTTGTGAGGAATGGAAATGCATGGCAGAGCGTTCCAGTTAACATATTAGAGTCGGTTGATGTGATTTCAAAAGGCAATAACACATCGATGTTCATGCAACCACAACTCTGACCTGCAATACATAGGGAACAAAAGAGAGTAAGATAATAACAATAACAGAAGAGCCCAGATGTTGGCAACAATCAGCTGATGAAATGTTCTTCAAAAAGGAAGTGGACCCTTCCAGCACCATTTTCTTGGAGATGGCGCTGAGTGAAAATGTAATCTCATTATGATGATACGACACTCACCCTATTTGTTCGACAAGCTCTCTGGCCTGAGTGATGATGTTGGCTCCAGTGAAGCACACAATGCCAGCCATCTCCATGGAGTACCAGCGCGCCCTGATGGAAACACAAAGACAACATCAGGTCCGCAGCAGAGTGCCGTTAATCACTGATTTCACCACAGCAAAGGCTTTAAAGCTCATTTGATTAATTGAATGATGAAAGCTGCAGTTGGTTCCTACCCTTTCCTCATGACGTAGCCGTAGAAAGAGTTGAGAATACACTTGTGAGCCAGCTGAAGAGAATCGTACAGGATCTCCATGTTTTTGCAGCGCTTCACCTCAGCAGCGTCTCCGCTCTCCTGAGCTGCCGACAGTTTCTTCTTCCACACCTAAAGCAAAGGTTGCGAGAAAATAAAAAGGAATTCAAAGCAAGTCATTTTATCAGTAATATACATTTTAAGTACAGAGTGAGAGTTTAAATTGCTGAAGTGGAAGACATTTGAATGGAAAATACAGTTATTCTATATAAATATGTAATGAATTGAAAATAGAGAGAATTCCAAAACACACCTTGTGGAGTCCTTTGAATTCGTAGCGACGATCTCTGAAAGCTCTCACGGTGTCAACGTAGAAGGAGTTCTCTCTCTGGCAGATGGTGGTGGTGCGCTCCTCCAGCTTGGTGACGTGTGTCTTCTTGTAGGCCCTCTTACAGTAGTCTGAGGCAAAGGAAAGACGGGTCAAACAACGCTTCAAAAAGCTATTTAAAACGCTTATAACACACTCAAATGGAAGTACCTGCCAGACGTTTCTTCTCGTGTTTGGCCTGCTCCTCCTTGTTGAGAGAGTGGAAGGCCCGAGGTGGGCCGTTGGGGAAATAGGGCGGGAACTTCTCAGACTCCAGTTGCTGCTGGATTCGGTGAAACTCACTGCGGCTGGCAGGCACTGCACACAGAGGGAAGAATAAATCAACTTTTACTGTATTCAAACTAACATGAATACCAAAGAAACCTGTCCTTTAGTTTCTGTTTATTTAAAGGGGACCTATCATGCAAAATGCACTCTGTGATGTCTTTTATACATAAATGTGTGTCTGGTGTGTCGGGGAACTCACGCAGCGTCAGAAAATAAAACCCTCTCTCTTTTCCTCCGTACCCAAATCTCTAAAAACGGGGCTACAACAGAGCTGATCCAGATTATCGGAAATGTGGACCCACGGCCCTATCAGAAAGTTGCTATCAGAAACAATGCCCGACTGTTTTGGACGTAATATGGTCGGTGTTTACATTAGCATCGCTAACACTCTGCTAACCTGTACTGGAGAGCATGTGTGTGAAGAAGCAGGAAATAAAAAGGAACTCACCTTGTGGTATAACCGGCAAGAGAGAAAGCCTTTGAGCTCCATATGTACACAGGGGATAGGTCCTTGATATCCATGATATGAAGCTTCATCACCCGCAGTATTTAGTTTAGACAGTAGCTGCCGGGTCCCGCATGAGCTCAGACCCCTTCTTTTTTTTTATCAATTTATTTTTATTTTTTAAGCTTTATACCCAAATCAGCACTTTTGAAACAGGAAGTGAAATAGAGGGATATGAGGCATGGCTAGAATGGGTGATCTGTTTGGTATTTTGAGCAAAACACTTCATAGACATGTTTTTTATATATCTGAGACCTATGTTATTGCCTAAAAATAGCATGATAGGTGCACTTTAAACAATATTGACTTACTGATCTCCCCTCTCCACTGCCAGGCCATTTTCCTCTGGCAGGTGGCACCATGCTTGTTAAAGTCACAGGCGGCACAAGTGGCCTCATCAACTATGGCGGACGGCTATAAAAGTAGAGAACAAAGTATTGATTTGCAGGCTTTTCTATAGGTTTTAACCTATGCATATTTCTTTGGATTTTTCCTTTACCTGCAGGCGGTTGGTGAGGATGATATTGGGGTACATAGCCCCAACATCCAGATGGTAGATGAGGGGGCATTCAATCCTGTTTGGGACCTCCTTTAAGGATATCAGCTTCTTTTTGATATCCTCACAAACCTGAGAAAATATCAGAGAAATGTTAAAGCTGAAAATAGTTCGAACAACTTTTAAAAAATAAGGTATTAGGTAAAAATATAAAAGCCAATATACCTCATTAAAGTTGGTGACCTGATCCAAAGGGATGTTCTCCTCTTCCTCAATGGCGTGACGAATGGTTCTCTCAACTCTTTGCAGAAGGAAGTCAAACGCGGCCGGGTTCTGTCAACACACCAGAACAAGCCGTTATGCTAAATTCATATAAAAAGCATTAAAACAAAGAGCAAACTATAAGTTAAACTGAGATGTACCATTTTGAAACGGCAAGGGATGTCACTGCGGAAAACTCCGGACTCCAGCGCCTCCACGTGGCCGCCCACGTAGGTCTCAGAGTCCATGACGTGGCCGTCGCCGGTCATTTTGTTGAACACCTGCTCCTGCTTGTTGGGGAAAACGATGTTTGCGTGGAAGGCCTGAACCATGAGCAGAGCCTCGCACAGCGTCCCAGAGCCTTTACGCAGCACCTGGAAGAAAAGACGTGAATATTCATAAAAATGCATGTTATATTTTGGGTATTTGATTCTTCTTTTACAAAACACACAAAAAACAAACCTCGTCGGGCTCCATGGGGATGATGGTGCACAGAGCGAAGATGAAGGGGTGAACGTATTTCATGTAGAGGTAATACGTGGCCACAGCGTCCGACACAGAGTAGGTGGCTAAAGTCTAACAGAACCGTAGAAAAAAAGAAAAAGTTAACAAAACAGTTACAATTATTCTTCCGAGCAGTAAATAAAAGTCACTTGTGTACCTGTGGCTGCTCAGTAGCCATGCGACACATATCCCTCCGGGTCCAGGGTGTCTGACGATGTCGCAATCTCGGAACCAACGAGCATGCATTTGCAAACCCGCCAATCTCAATCTTACTAACGACTATAAGGAGAAGGTTGGACGGAGAGGAGAGGAGTTCCCCATTTCTCTCTGTCGTTGGACGGGGACCCCCTTCAAGTATTAGACTTCTCGTCGCCGCTTTCGATTTGACCGATGCTGGGGCACCT